TTGTCCCACCCCCGGGCCACGCGCTCCAGCCACTGGCCTGGGGCATGTGCTTACCCTGGGCTGGGGCTCAGCGATGTAATCCTGCGACTGTGTCTGCCGGGTCCGGCAGGCTCCTGCACTCGCGGTGACCCATTCCCCGTCGGGCCCGCCTGGCAGGTGTTTGTGGTCGGGCGGGGCTGGTCACCGCGACCTTTCACTCCGGTTCAGGACTCAGCCGCCCAACCCCTCTTCGAAGTGCCTACCCTCCGCTAACAAAGAGACCCCGTCTCCTCCCCCTTCCCCGCGCCCACCTCTGAGCTCAGGGAGAGTAGCAGCCAGCCAGGATGGGTTTTCTGCGCCCAAAGCTTCGGACCTCGGTTTTTGCATCCTACCTTCTTCACATCCCTTTTTGACGTTTGCCAAATGAGTTCATCCCTGGCCCCAGTTCCTTTGAGAAGGAGGTTTCCTGTTCTTGGGCGGGGCCGGAGAATCCATTGTCTCTTCTCTAGTCTCTCCACCTGGAAAGCTGGGGCCTTTCTTGCCATTCATCCTATTGCATTTTGGAGATGGGGGCACAGGGCATGGGGTTTGAACAGGAACCTTTTATCAAGCCCTTGCTTAACTTGGTGGAAGGGTTTGGGTTTATGGAAGGTGTCCACATTGTCTCAGCTAATTGCATTCTGTTCTGTGAGGTGGGGTTATAGACATCTCAGGGATCTTCCTCGAGGCTTGGATGAAGCTTAGATTCCACTTTTTCTGGGCATCTGCTCTCTTTTGATCACGACGTGCAGTCATGTGTGGCCAGCCTTGGGGTCCTGGCCAAGTGGCACAAAGGGAGCCATTTTGTAGGGCTAAGAAGACAGACATGAAATAGCAGTATCTCTCAAGGGTTAGAGAACTTGAGAACAAAAAGCATGCCTCAGCAGAGGAGTCTTAGGAGAAGGCGTGCAAGTGACATTCCCTTTCAACTAACTCTTTGCAGTTTTATAATGTAGAAGAGACTAGGTAAAATTGAAAAAAAACTAAATCAGAGGTTACTGGGAGGGCGGGGAATTTTAGTAGTTGGACATAAGAAAATACTGGTCACTCCCTCTTCTCTTGTCATCCTTCCAATGAGATAATTTTTTTCAGAGGACACTGGGACAAATTGAACCTTGTTTTTTCATTGTGTGTGATGAGGTCAACTTTCTCATGGTGGGATTTCAGTTGGAATGATAATGTGTATCTGGAGTTTTGTCCTTTAGGTTGAGTTCAGTTTGGTGCTTTGTAAAGAATTTTGGTACCCAGTGGGCTGGGGTTGTGGCTCAGTGGTAGAGCACTTGCATAGCATGTGTGAGGCACTGGGTTTGATCCTCAGCACCTCATGTAAATAAATAAAATAAAGGTATGGTGTCCATCCACAAATAAAATTATTAAAAAAAATTTTAGTACACAGATTAAATGGATCCTGCTTGTTTTTTCATATGTATATCTGAAATGAGAAAAAATAATTTTTGGTTCTGTAAAATAAATATTTTAAATATTTTTTTCCATAATTTTCATTCTGATAATGTGATCTGGGTACTGTAGTATTGTCATTTTATTTACTTCACACCTTTCCTTCTATAATCTCACCTAATTCTCCTAAACTTCTTTTCTCCAGTAATATTCTCCCGGTTCTATAGCCTCATTATAAATTTAATGTGGTAGGGAATGATCTGCAAGAACGTATGAAAACTCAGGGATTTGAAGAGAGAAGCAAGGAGCAAATTTTTAAAAAAATTACTATCTCTAATATGTGGACATGTTTTTGTTGACTCTTAAATAGATAATCTTTATTTAGTTATTATATGTGTGTTTCAGAAAGAATAGTAAAAAATAAAATTGCAATACTTTGCCTTATGATCAAATCCTTTGTTTGGGGATGTCTGGCTGTTACAAATGGTCTCCACAACACTGACGTCATTGGAGTAGGTATCACCTGCCATTGCGGGAGGAAAGCTGCTGACCTGTCAAAGTTGGACTGGCCATAGCTTTGACTTGCTTTTAAGCTGTTGTTTGGGTACTAGTGTCTCTTTCTTTTTATTTTTTATTTTTCAAGGCCAAAAATATTTCCAAGCAAAAGAGGATTCTGAGGAATTTTATCTGGCTAAAATAATTCATGAGGTTTTAATTATGATTAGCAAACAAAATAATTCTAATCTCTAGGGAATGAAGGGGATAATGAAGAAAGTTGATTTTTATTCTAAAAATTTTAAGTGTCTTTGTTGATTTTAAGATGTAAATTATAAAAACCTAATCCCTTCAGAGAGAAAGCTTAAGAATTGATGACATACCTTACTTGTGATTTAAATAACTGAATTAAGCTTAAAATTATCATCTTTATAAAATGTATGCCTGAACCCATATATCTTAATTTATAAAATAAATTTAAGTGGATATTTAATATCTGAGACTTTTTTATGTTTATTTATTTTTTTAGTTGCAGGTGGATCCAATGCCTTTATTTATTTATTTTTATGTGGTGTTCAGGATCTAACCCAGGGCCTCTCACGTGCTAGGCGAGCGCTCTACCACTGAAGCACAACCCCAGCCCAATATCTAAGATTTAAAAAAAATTTTTTTTTTTTGTTGTAGATGGACACAATATTTGTTTTTTACTTTTATGTGGTGCTAAGAATTGAACCCAGGGCTTCATGTGTTTGAGGCAAGTGTTCTACCACTGAGCTACAACCCCAGCCAATAATATCTGAGACTTTTTAAAAATGGAGTTTTAAATGTTATGTGTGGTTAAGGACTATAGTGGGACCTTGAGGTGGGTAGATAATGAAATTGGTGTGAATTTAGTATTGTGTTTTTGTTTAAGGAAGGAAGCTAGAAAGACTGCATATTTAGAAAATAAGAAAACCCCTATCAAAGCATAATTCTACAGTTTTGTAGTTTAAAGAGAAAAATTGCATTTTGTGATTTCCTCACAGAAGTCATTGGAGCACTCACTGTTCAGTGCCTGCCCTGAGCTGAGGCTGGGCTTTGCACTCCCACTAACTAATGCTGGACAGTTAGAGCTTCTCAAGGCCTTGCTCCCCTGGAAGGAGGATGTTGAACTGCCTATAGCAGACTTCCTGCAGGCCTGACCCAGGCTCTCTTTCTGTAAGGCCTCTGAACTGTGAATGACGTTAACATTGTTCAGTACTTGAGAAAAACAAGATTCATGATTTATGAATATAGTGGCACACACCTGTGATCCTAGCTATTTGGGAGGCTGAGCAGGAGGATGGCAAATTCGAGGCCATCCTGGGCAATTTAGAAAGACCCTATCTCAAGATAAAAGAGGGCTAGGGATGTGGTTCAGTGGTAGGGTGCTGCATGTTCAGGGCCCTGAGTTCAATTCCCAGGACTACAAAAGAAAAGTTTCAGTGTACATAAATAAGTTTTTGAGTTTTAAGCCACACTTGTCTTCATATCATCGGTGGCTGCCTTCATGCAACATGGCAATGAATAGTTCAGGGAAGACCTGATCACAAACCAGTAGTATTTAAGGCTGGCCCTTTACAAAAAGAGTTGGCAGCTCCTGGGAAGTGGAGCACTAATCTCCCTGTCCTCCCTCTGTTCTGGCTGCCTCTATGGCTGCCTCTCCAAACTCAAGGAGGTTGCAGTTTCAGAGATGGACTGGAATTTGAGTAGGAACTGAGGGAAAGGTGGAGCCTAGTCCAGGCTGGAGGAAATAGGCTAGCAAAGGCCCTTGCTGGAGCTAAACTGCCAGAGTGAAGAAAGTAGCAGGACTTGGTTGGGAAGGAGGAGGTTGGATCCATCTTGATTGCATCTGCTGGATTGTGGAGCCTGACACAAAGAGAGACAGGGCAGGGGTCTCCCCTTGGTGCGGGAATGGACAGTGTGTGGGTTCAGTAAGATGGCAGTGTTAGGGTGCTGAGGCTGGGGTACCAGCCTAGATGCAAGGGAGCTAAGAAGTCAGGATTTCTATCTAGGGATCCAGAATGGACATAGGTGCCCACTAGCGAATGAATGATCGTTTAGAAGAATGAATGATCGTTTAGAATGGACAGTGGAAAAAAGTAGTATTGTCAAGAGAAACACTGGTAGGAATTTCTAGAACTCAGAAACAGTTTTTAAAAGAATTTTAGATTAGTAAAAACTCAGAAAAACATCAAGTGTAAAAAAGACTTCAAGAATCACCTGAAATTGCATTAGTGAGTAGGCGCTCCAGGTAACTTAGTTGTGGTGACATTTATATGGGTATAATAACTAATGTGCATGATTGCCATGTTGCAGATGAAATGATACCCTTATAATAATAGTCTTATGAGGTAGATATTACTATCCTCATTTTACAGAGGAGAAAACCGAGACACAGAGAGGATAATGTAACTTATCAAAGTTCCCTTTAGAAAGTTTGTACAGATTTTATACTCATACCATAATGCTGAATGTTGGCTTTTTACATCCCATTTTCCCAATCTAATCAAATGATATATCCTTTTTCTTTTTTCTGCCTGACCTATATAGGATTGAACCAGGGTCTCCCACGTGCCAGGCAAGTACTGAGTGACAGCCTCCTGCCTCAGCTTTCCAAGAGGCTGGCTTTCAGTGTGGGCTGCGGATCCTTAGATTCATTTATTTTTTAATTGTAGATGTACAGAATACCTTTATTTTATTTATTTTTATGTGGTGCTGAGGATTGAACCCAGGGCCTTACACGTGCTAGGCAAGCACTCTACTGCTGAGCCATAACCCCAGCCCGGAGCCTTAGTTTTAAATTGCATTTGTTTGCTAGTCTGAATAGGACTCAAACCATAGCAGTCAGCACAGAAGACTTCAGTGACCTCAGAAGGTGTGGTGCTTTTCCCAGACAGGCAAGCAAGCAGTTCTGCAGCTGGGTATCCCCTAATCCAGCTCAGTTTTGATGCTGTCTTCAGCATCAGATCTCACACACATCAAGTGCTCAGCCCCCAAGTTGGCCTCAACCCCTCTTTAAATTCCAGGTTATTTTTATCTATGTTTCTGACTGACTGTAAGTCGAATTTCCCATAAACCCCTCCTCACATTTAATTTGCTCGTGCAACTCATGAAGCTAAGGGATATATTTGCTTCTACTTCCTGTTTTTTTTTTTTTTTTTTTTTTTTTTGTGAAGGATACTACAAGGGACAGACAGGAAGAAGTGCATAGGGCAAGGTGTGGCAAAGGGATGCCTAACTTCCATGCCCTCAATGGTTGTGCCATCATCCAGGAGCCTCCATGTTTTAGCTTTGGAAGCTCTCTGAACTCTGTCCTGGGTTTTCATGGAGACTTCATTGCATGGGCTTGATTGAAGCATGAATAACTGTTGCAGTGGGATTGGTCAAAAAGGGTATAATCTACTGGTAGTAGACGGGAAACTCAGCAGGCCTGTCTGCTTCAGCATTCTGGTTTCTGGGCAGGACCCTGCTGGAAAGAGGAAGGTCTTATGACCTACTGTGGCACAAGGGTAGGTCAGAAATTTTCTTGTGGGGCTAGGGATATGGCTTAAGCAGTAGCACGCTCACCTGGCATGCGTGCGGCCCGGGTTCGATCCTCAGCACCACATACCAACAAAGATGTTGTGTCCGCCGAGAACTAAAAAATAAATATTAAAAATTCTCTCTTTCTCTCCTCTTTCACTCTCTCTCTAAAAAAAAAAAAAAAAAAAAAAAGAAATTTTTTTGTTTCTTTTCCTGGCCCCAAACTACTGGGCCCAAGGGATCTTCTGGCTTCAGCTTCCCCAGTAGCTGGGACTGGAGGGATGGACCACTGTGCCCAGCTTCAGGGTTGGATTTTTAATGTTTGGGAGCTATTTAGATTTGTTTGTGGTACTGAGGATTGCATCTGTGGTGCTCTACCACTGAGCTACATCCCAGCCCTTGTTATTTTATTTATTTTATTTTGCTAAGCTGCCAAGGCTGATTTTGAACTTGAGATCCTTCTGCCTCAGCCTCCTGGGTTGCTGGGATTACAAGGTATATATGCCACCACAGCCAGCAAGAGAGTGTTTGTTTGTTTGTTTCTTTTTTTTTTTTTTTTTCTTTTTTTGATACTAGGGATTGAACTCAGGGGCACTTGACCACTGAGCCACATCCCCAGTCCTATTTTGTATTTAGAGCCGGTCTCACTGAGTTGCTTAGTGCTTTGCTGTTGCTGAGGCTGGCTTTGATCCTCCTGTCTCGGCCTCCCAAGCTAGTGTGATTACTGGCGTATGCCACCGCACCTGGTAAGAGACAGTGTTTCTTAGTCACTGATTTAAAAAGTAGAAAACCATTATACTGGGCTGGGGTTGTGGTAGAGCGCTCGCCTCGAACTTGCAAGACCCTGGGTTCGATCCTCAGCACCACATAAAAATAAGTGAAATAAAGGTATTGTATCCAACTACAATTAAAAAATAAATATAAAAAAAAAGAAAAAGAAAACCATACTGCTCCTATCCCCAGTAAAGGAAATGAATCAGTAGTTAGAAAGTTGTCTCATGAAACCATCTCAGTTGTCTTTTTTTTTTTTTTGTGCCAGGGATTGAACCCAGGAGTGCTCAACACTGAACCACAACCCCAACCCCCACCTCCCTTTTTTTTTTTGTCTTTTGAGACAGAGTCTTGCTAAGTTGGTTAGGGCTACACTAGCAGCCTGGCTTTTAACTTAGGATCCTCCTGCCTCAGCCTCTTGAGCTGCTGGGATTACAGGCATCAATTTTCTGTTTTGAGAGGTAGCAAGGGGAGTTGAGTTTAGTTTTTGCAGGGAGGAGACAAATTGATCAACCCATGGCAAGAAGATCTGGAAATGTGTACAGCCTGTATTTCCAAGTGAAACAGAAAGCTGTGGGTGCCATCCTGAAGAACATGGGTACAGAACATGCTGTGGAATTGCACATTTAATTTCTCATATCAACTTGGCCCTTGTGGCTAATCATCCGTGTTTATTATTGAGCATAGTGGGGTACAAATACATAAGCAGGCTCATGGGTGCTGTGGAGGTGGTTGATACTGTTGAGCTCTCCTTTGGCTTCTAAACTGGTCCAGGTAACTTCTATGTGTATATTCTTCCTTTTTTTATTTAGTTGAAAATAAAATGGAAATGACTTTCGAATGAATAAATGATAAGATGTTCTTCTAAACTTGTTTGCAGGTATAGTCAGTTAAGCCCAGTAGAGCAAGGGCTATTTGGTCTCTTACCATTTCTGAAAAAGGGAAACCAACCAGGCAGTGACTATAATTGTGAAATGTGATAAACTAGTACTTTATCTTGGAATCTTTTTTTTTTTTCTTTTGTATGGAGAATTGAACCCAGGGGTGCTCAACCACTGAGTCACATCCCCAGTCCTTCTTATTTTTATTTTTTATTTTTTGCGGGGGGCACTAGGGATTGAACTGAGGGGCACTTGACCACTAAGCCACATCCCCAGCCCTATTTTGTATTTGAGTTAGAGACAGGGTCTCACTGAATTGCTTAGCACCTTGCTTTTACTGAGGCTGGCTTTGAACTTGCTATCCTCTTGTCTCAGCCTCCCAAGCCTCTGGCATTACAGGTGTGTGCCACTGTGTCTGGCTTATTTTTTATTTTGAAACAGAGTTTCGCTAAGTTGCTGAGGCTGGCCTTGAATTTGCAATCCTCCTGCCTCAGCCTCCAAGTAGCTGGGGTGACAGGCATGTGCTCCCACACTGGGGAGTACTTGGTATCTTAACATTCAGCACTGAATTCATACCAGGATGAGTTGTTTCCTTTTTCCATGAACAGCTCTCTTTGGGGCAGCAGTAAGGGAGGAAGAATGGGTGTGGAAAAAGAAACAAAAGATATAAGAAAATATTTATGCCAAGAAATGCTTTGATATGATTTGAAACTAATGTTTTGCCATAATTTTCAGGGTTTTGCGGCCTCCAGGTGGTGGATCCAATTTCTCATTAGGCTTTGATGAACCAACAGAACAGCCTGTGAGGAAGAATAAAATGGCCTCCAGCATCTTTGGGACACCTGAAGAAAATCCCCCTTCTTGGGCCAAGTCGGCAGGTACTACTTTCGCGTGTGGTCACTGGAGGGCTGGGCCAGCAGAGCAGAGCCCAGCTGGCTGGTACTAGTTTAATGGTAATGAACAGCTGCTGAAGTTTAACTTGAGAAGAAAGAGCTGGGAACTATGCGTGTATGTGGTGGATGAGAATGAGAACTGCAGTGAGACTGCGAGTCTAGGTTAGGATGTGTACGGAGGTGTTTTATTGTGGCATTTCTGTTGTATTCCTCAAGAAAAGTATTGTGTTTTGGTTTCTAGGTGCCAAGTCTAGTGGTGGCAGGGAAGATCTGGAGTCATCTGGACCACAGAGGAGGAACTCAACTGAAGCAAGCTCTGGAGACTTCTTAGATCTGAAGGTTGGTGTGAGCCCACTAGGAAAGCCAGGCCCAGGGCAGAGAGGGTCAGAAGTTACATTTCCCCTTTGTTTACTAAGAGTTTCAGTTCTGCTGCCACAACTGATGGTCACAATAACTAAAAAAGGGACTGGGTCATCTTGCTGATGGAAGACCCCTAAGTAGAAAGTAGGTCAGAAAAGTGACCTAGCCTGCCAGGTGGCTCTGACCAGTAGAGTCGGCTGTAGGCCCTTCACCACCATTGGCTTTGGGAGCCTGTGGGTCTCGCTCCCTGTGTCTCTTTAAGAGGACCACATCTGAGTTGAAGGATGGTTGCAGTTGTTTTCCAGTGTCACCTTGAGGTGAACTACAGACTGGACCCCTGGAGTCATCATCAGGTGTCTGCAGATTAGTACTGCCACCGAGCCCCAGTAGGACTTCCCAGTAGGAAGTCCTCCTGGCTAGTGGCCTCAAGCATATTGAAGCATTGGAGTGTAGGGAGTGCTGTCTGAGGACTCTTGGGCTTAGAGGGTCCTTCAAAGCCAGATCAGGAGAAAAAAGACAGAAGGTGGGTTTGCCCATTCCCATTCTGATGAGAGATCCTCTGAAGTGTTAGTTGGTGTCAGTATCTGTGGCCATGCCACCATGAATGTGCCTATCTCATTTGAAATGTTAGTTGGTGTCAGGTCATCAGAGCAAATGTTTTGCTTTTTGTTTGTTGTTTTTGGTATTTAGTTGTGAAATTTATTGTGCAGGATTGCTGTATGGCATTGTTCTCAGTTAAATAAAGGTCTCTGCCTGACTGTGCTTGATTGCATCAGAATAGGATTTGACATTTGATTTCAAATAGATGTTAGCTACTCTGAGTTGTGACAATTAGATTTGTGTGATGCAAAATTGTAAGTTTTTAAATCTTTTCTTTTGCAGGGTGAAGGTGACATTCATGGTAAGTACTTCTAAAGACTAAATTGTTTTTTGGTTCTATAATGCTTTTTGGACAGATCTGAATTGTAATTCAAATCATGTCTTGGTGAAAGAGAACTGGGTGTGCCCCAAGAAAGTGCCATCACTGGGCGGAGGGAGAAGAACAAAAAAATTAGAAAGTTAGTAAACATGGCCACATTTTAAATCTGCTAGCAGTGAAGAATGCTGGAAACCTAGACAGAAAAAGGCCTGGAGAACCCAAGGGCACACCACTGAGCTAACCCTTACCAGCTCCATCCCCCTCTTTAAATTTTTTTACTTTTTTTTGAGATAGGTTCCTGCTAAGTTGTAGAGGCTGACTTTGAATTTTCCGTCCTCCTGCCTCAGCCTTCCAGGTCTCTGGGATCACAGGGGTGTGCCACCACACCCAGCTGCTAGACCTTTTTAATTAATAAAAGACTAGCATTTCCAGTTCAGCTCATGGCATTCCATTTGCGAAGTTCATTTGATTTTATATTGAGGTACTTATTTGTAAGACATTAGTTACCCTCAAGTGATTTTGTGAGTGGTGATTTGGGGGGCAGATGTAAATTTCCAGCTAGTCATCCAGATTACCAATTATAGGTGGAAATGAGCTGTAATCATTTGCTTAATTACTTTAAATCTTTGAAGTATTTATTGGCACCTCTTATTACAAGGGCCAGAACAGTGCTGATGAGTACTCTAAGGCTTACAGGTGTCACTGCAACAGTCAGTCAAGTTGCTGGTGGCACACACAGTCACAGGCCCTGAAGAGCCTTTTCCTACTGTTATGTTTTGTGATGTAGCATGTGGACTGGAGATATAGCTCAGTTGGTAGAGAGCTTGCCTCATATGCACAAGGCCCTGGGTTCAATCCCCAGCAACACACAAAAAAGAAAAAAACCAACTCTACAGTGAATAGTTGTTTTGGGGCTGGGGTTGTGACGGAACCAAGTTCCTCTCCTGCCTCTCAGTCTTTCCGGGTGGATGTGATAACACGAGAAGCTCCTGAGCCTTCAATTAGACCAGTCACTCTTTCCTAAGATGAAGTTGTGTCAGTTACTGTTTGTGTTCAGTTTATGTAATTTGGAAAACTATTTTGGAGGTGAAATCTAGACTTTGCAGTCTTGCTTTTCATCCTCCCAGTATTTCAACTGTAAGACTGAATGTAGCAGAATCAGCTAATATTTGTTTAATGACTAGGGCCAGTGGATATAACTGAAGATATGGCCCTTGTGTTATGGTATTCAACTCTAATCCCAGTGACTTGGAGGCTGAGAGAGGAGGATCTCAAGTTCAAAGCCAGCCTCAGCAACTTAGTGAGACTCTGTCTCAAAAAAATGTGTGCGGTATGGTGGTGGTGGTATGCACCTATAATCCCAGCGACTCATGAGGGTGAGACAGGAGGGATCGAAAATGTAGGCCAGCCTCAGCAACTTAGTATGACCCTTTCTCAAAATAAAAATCTTATAAAAGGGCTAAGGACACTTGCCTAGCATTTGCAAGGCCCTGGATTCAAACCCTAATACTGGGAAAGAAGTGGGGGGGAAGATTTGGGGAGCCCGGAGAAGTAAGTGAATCCTCATGAAGATACAAACGGTGTAAGTTATTAGTCCTACCAAATAATTCTGTTCCCTGAGCTTCCTTCTCCAGTTCAGTTCTTTATTGATTCTTTAGATAAATGTCATAGCATACAACTCAATATGCTAAGTTCTCCCTTTTAATTTTTCTTTTTTTAAACAATGGCCATCAATTTTATTACCAGATTATTCTGTATTCCTGACTGCTACAACTTTTAGTTCCTTTGTCATGAATTGACAAGGGGCAGCCAGGCACTGGGGCGTGTGTCTATCATCCCACCAATTTGGGAGGCTTGAGGCAGAATGGCAAGTTTGAGGCCAGTTTCAGTGAGACCCTGCCTCAAAATAAAAATGGAAAAGGTCTGGGAAAGTAGCTCAATGGTAGAGCATTCCTGGGTTCAATCTCTAGTACCAAAAAAAAAAAAAAAAAAAGTGACAAGGGTATAATAATTCAAGATGTATCTGGTATATTAAAGGTTGACCCCAATTCTGTTGCAATGTTTCAAGTTAGGTACTCTGCTAGTTTTCTTCTTGTTCTGATTCTTTGATCATTACAATGAATCATTTTTTTCTATTCAGACATAGGTGTCTTTGTTCAGTTTTTTGTAGTTGTGGAGATTGACCCAAGGCCTTGCACATGCTGGGCAAACACCCTACCACTGAGCC